CCGCCCCGACAAAATTTGTTCCATTATCCGATCTTATTTCTTTGACGTGACCTCTTCGGTTCAGGAACCTTACCAAGACCATGATAAAGTCGTCAGTTTCCAGCGATTTTGCGACCTCCAAGTGGACGGCGCGGGAGTTCATGCACACAAAGATGGCTCCCCATCTCTTCTCGGTTACTCGTCCTCTTCCTCTCTTGATATGGAAGGGTCCAAAATAATCTACCCCTGTGTAGGTAAATGGTGGTTCATATGGTGTTAAGCGAACTTTTGGTAGCTCACCCATTTCTTGGTTTGTCGTTTGAGGTCTCTGTTTCTTGCAATCGATACATCTTCCGAGGATYCTTTTTATGGCAACTCGTGCTTGGATTACCCAGAATCGTTCTCTCAGGAGGGCTAGCACTTGCTCTTGACCACAGTGTCCGTTCTTCTCATGCAAGTAACGTATCAAGATTGTCGTAACGTGACTCTTCCGAGGCAAAATTTTGGGTGCATTGCGTCATGGGAAATTGGTGCCTTAGCCAATCTTCCAACAACACGAAGTAGACCATCRTCATGTAACTTTGGGCTTAGACTTGCTGTGGGGCTGTGTCCTTGAACTTGTTTCTTCTTCTTGAGGCTCTGCATTTCTTCGGAAAAGGCTTTACGTTGCACGATCCTAGCAACCTTCAATTTAGCGTTCTGCAGGTCTTCAGTAGAAATACGTTTCTCTTTCACGTGTCGGGACTTGATCCATTCGGTGAATTTGACTAGCCAGGCAACTCGGCGCAGGAGTACTATCCAGTTGGAATACCTCCTTGTAAGTTCCTCCACAGATGATCTGCGTTCAGGTACGGTCAGATAAGCTTCTTTCTTAACTTCCAGATCTTGTACGCTAATTTCTTCRAACTTGTTCTCGGGCCAGTTCTCTTTCGTCTTCCACAGAAACTCTGGTCCTTTAAGCCAGCGTTGGTTCTTGAGATATTCTTCAGTGTCAAGACCACGGCTTGCATCATCTGCAGGATTGTCCTTGCCTGGACAATGTCTCCACTGTTCGGGCAGTGTTTCCTCTCTGATTTCGGTCA